CGGTTGGTAATTCTTCATGAAGAAGCCGAAGATGGAAACGCAGTACCAGATCTTACCCGACCTGTTGGTGCCGTATCTCGAGCGGTTGACAATCTTATCAAAGTACCCTCATTTATTTCATTACTTAAGATCATAGGCATGTGCACATATCTCATTAAATAAGCACATGATTTTGAAATTCTGCTAAAATAGTAATTTTTTGTTCCAAATTTTAATTGAAACATTATTCAGGTGGGCTATGATACATGTCATTCGTCGGATGATCGAATTCTGCAAGCAGATATGCCACCAGCTTTACAACGAGTAGAAGCTAGCTCTCGTTTATTGGAAGATGCTTGCCATATGCTCAAAGCCGATCCATATTCTAGCGTTGCAAGAAAAAAGTTAATCGAAGGAGCTAGAGGCATTTTGCAAGGCACATCTGCTTTACTACTATGCTTTGATGAATCCGAAGTGCGAAAAATTATTCGTGGTTGCCGTAAAGTTCTTGATTATTTGGCTGTAGCTGAAGTGATTGAGAGCATGGATGATCTGGCGCAATTTGTTAAAGTAAATTACTTTATTTTCCCTTTTAATCATGTCATTGTGTACCTGCATTAGATACTTTTCTGTATCGATTTCAGGATATCAGTCCATGGCTAACTCGAGTTTCGCGAAACATTGATGCAAGAGAAAAGGAACTGACACATCAAGTTCATCGTGAAATATTGCTGAGGTGTATGGATACTGTGAAAACCCTTTCACCAATAATGATCTGTGCAATGAAGATATTCATTCAAATCACCGAAGAATCGCAGCGGGGGCAGCAAGAAGCAGCAGAAAATCGTAATTATTTGGCGCAGAGAATGACGGATGAAATGAATGAAATAATTCGTGTGCTGCAGTTAACGACATATGATGAAGATGAATGGGACAGCGATAATGTCACTGTTATGAGAAAAGCTCTTAGTGCTGCACAAAGTTTGCTTACTTCAGCTTTGGATTGGCTTGCTGATCCACGTGGTCGAGCTGGTGCTACTGGTGAAAAGGCAATACGGCGTATTGTGGATTATTCTGAACGAATTGCTGCACGAGCACTACCTGAAGATGCTCGCCTTATTAGACGTACTGTGAGTGACATCACTTCCATGACTGATTCACTTTGTGAATTGCGCAGCCAGGGTAGCGACAGTCAGGGTTTGGCTAATGGATGTGCAAATAGACTGAAGGAACTTGTTGGTACGAAAGAAATTGGTGGCATTTTACCTGGTGCGCTAACGAACACGCAACGCACTGGTGGTGTACATCCTGCACATACTGTTTCGGGACGTCTTGAGCAGGCACTGAGATGGCTGGATAATCCAGGAGTTAACGATGATGGATTAGGTAGTTTATCATTAATATGTACTAGTATAGCTTATACTATCCAACAATTACTCCATCAGATGTGGAGTAATTGTTGGATAGTATAAGCTCAACTGCTAAAGTTCTTTTGCCCTAATAGTTTTGACTGTAATTTAGTAAACAACATATTTTGAGGTACTAGGCTCGTTTAACATTTCAGCGCACGATTTTTCGTTCTTATCGCAGTAACAAACCGGTATTCAGTAAAATGATTACGGCTGAAAACGAATAAAACTTCGTTCAAAAATCATCAAAAATCTTTGAATTTGAATTACTGGAAATGTACTTCATGACATAAACTTTGTTTTTTACTTCCGCAAAGAATGATCTTTTCAGGACTACAAGCAGTAAAAGCAATGACAAATGAGGCGCGTAATCTTAGTGACTTATTACCACCTGCAGAACGTGCCAAGTTGCTTGATCTCTGTGGAGAAATCGATCGGCTAGCAGATCAGTTAGCTGATTTGGAACGCCGCGGTCTTGGAAATTCTCCGGCAGCACATGCAATACGCAATCAGTTACGTAATAAATTGCATGACTTAGCGGACTTTATGAAGAAAGTAATCACTGATCGGGTCGTTGAAGATTTTGTTGATATTAGCACACCGCTGAAGCAGTTTGTTGATGCTGTCTATGCACCGCTAACGATAGTTAATCGCGAACTGAACTTTGAAGAAAAGGCGCGTAACCTGAATGATCACAGCTCCAGATGTGCAAATACAGCTCTTCTTGTTGCCAAATGTGGTCCGTGCAAGAATAAAAAGACTGTTGAAGCCATTATTGAAACAGCAAATCAGGTATGTAATTTCAAAACCTATGATTTGTGTTTATTTGTGGCCATTCTGCCCTCTTCATGAACTGTCCTCACAGAATATCACAAAATTTTTGAAATTGAAATATTTTTGATGTTTTAGCTTAAACATATTTCATCCTCTGCTTTTTTTGTGGAAGGTGTGTTACTATACAGCTAAGGTTCTATCTGTATTTACTTTCCATTAAATTTATAAGTCTTATGATTTATAGAATAAGCTGTTTCTTCAGACCCATTCAAGAGCACAGTTTTATTACAGGTGAATGCAATGACACCGCAGGTGATCAATGCCGGAAAAATACGTTTGCACAATGATAGCGATTCAGCTAATCAACATTTCGATAATTTACGGCGCGAATACACGGACGTTTTGAACAGACTTCGTTCTCATGTTGATGATGCCATCGATACTGGCGATTTCATTCGCGCTAGTGAACAGGCAATGAGACGGTATACAGCGTATTGTGAAAATGCGATTCGAAATAGTGAACCGCAACAAATGGTGGACAATACATCGCAAATAGCACGATTTGGCAATCGTGTTCTTATGACGGCCAAAAATGAAGCTGACAATTCGGAAGAACCAAGCTTCGTGCATAGAGTGAATAATGCAGCTCAGCAACTCCATTCTGCGATTCCTCCAATGGTGAATCAAGCAAAGCAGGTGGCACTGAATCCTCGACATAGTGGTAACGCACAGAGTTGGCGTGATGCAAATGAGCATTTATTGTCCGCTGTACGACAAGTTGGTGATGCAATAACAGGTGCAGGGGGTTCACGACCACCTAGTCAAAACCTGCTGGTTGAGTCGGTACCACCAAAAGCACCCACCAGCCCAGCAGTTTACGACCGAGTATACATAAGAGAAGATATACCAACACCACCGAGACCGCCACCACCAGTGGAAATCAGTCCACCACCCCGTCCACCACCTCCACCAGAGACAGATGATGAAGAAGAAACACGTGCTTTCTGGGAAAGATATCCATTGCCCGGAGCAGCTAGTCAACCAATTTTAAGTGCCGCTCATAATTTGCATCAGGAATTGCGTCAGTGGTCAAGTCATGAGAATGAAATTGTTGCGGCAGCAAAACGTATGGCCATTTTAATGGCGAGACTAAGTCAACTTGTACGTGGGGAAGGAGGAACTAAAAAAGATCTCATTGACTGCGCTAAAGCTATTGCCGATTCCAGTGAAGAAGTTACAAGACTTGCCGTTCAGCTTGCTCGTCAGTGTACTGACATTAAGATGAGAATGGTATTTTCATTTCGTTTTTTTCCAAATTTTCCTCTTATATTTGATATAATGTACCTGTTCATTTTTTCTAGTGAATATCCTTCATTTTAAGTTGCTTTTCATCTGATATTTAAAATCCATGTTTTTTGTCCATCAGAAATCCCCGAAAACGTTATTTTGTTAAAACCGTTAAAACCAGGGCTCATTGCATTTCAACGTTTCAGTGCTGATGTTACTTTTTCCTTTAAAAAATATTCTAGACATTATTGCAAGTATGTGAACGGATTCCAACGATCGCAACACAGTTAAAAATCCTTTCAACTGTTAAAGCCACAATGCTTGGATCACAAGGTAAGCTTATCCCTATGAATGCTGACGAGCTTATGAACTCAGATCCATAAGTTAAACTACCAGCGAGAGTTCTGGAATGTCTCTCCATCAAAATCCCTTGAATTTGTTCATTACCAGACGTTTTTTCAGCAGCAGTCGGACCTTACGGACAACCTATTGATGGTAAAATTGAGTAGCATGCGTTTTTATCACTAACAGTTTCGAGAGTGCTTTAACAAGTTTTACGAAAACAAATTCCCCCTTGTTTTGGGAAATCACGAGATGATATATATTAACACCTCGAGTTCACTTACCATTTTACCAAAGCATGCTGAAAAAATGAAGCATTTGCTTTGAGAATGTTTTGCTTAGATTTTTGCGTTGTCTTAGGGACTATATTTGCTGATGTGATGCTATATGAATGTTGATATGCAATTCAATCTATCAATTGCAGGAAGTGAAGAGGACGAAGAAGCAATGCAACAGCTTGTATTAAATGCGCAGAATTTGATGCAGTCGGTGAAAGACACAGTACGTGCTGCTGAAGCAGCTTCAATTAAAATCCGTACAAACAGCGGCTTGCGGTTGAGATGGATTCGTAAGCCAATGTGGTCAAATTTTTGAAATGGCTACGTGTTAGATGATTGCAATCTGGAATTGGTGATATTTAAAAAGTGCTTCTATGATTTTTTTTTATTTGCTATAAAATTCTTTCAGCTATATAAATACAATGGCGACGCCTCACTCATTTAAATATCTTCATATTTGATGTTGCCAGTGATGAATTATTGCAGAAAATATACCTCTTGCTCAATAGTTCCAGGGCTAAACGGATGCGGTATTAATAAGCCATGTACGATGTGATGACGCTTGTTTTTTTTTTTTTTTGATTAGACCATCATTTATCGTAATATTAAATAATAAAATATGCTCAAAAGAGCAAACACGTAAAGCTTAAAACGATAATAGTAATAGTAATACATTTTTTTTATAGTTTGTAATGCTGACACTTATTTTCACTCATAAACTGTTAATATGGTGTCTGGTGCCATCGCAAATGTACTCCCTATTGTAGTGTTTTCTTTTCATAAAGAAATTTTGTCACAGTTTATTTCTAGGCGCAGATCTAAGAATCAGTGTCATTTCTTATCCCACCACTGTGCCTAACAATCTTTAGGTATATCTCTGTTTACCTGTCTTTGGTTCAACTAGTTTTCAAGAATGTCCCAATAATAAAATTCATATTGCTTTCGCCTCATCAAACTGCTTTCTCGCTTTTTTCAGTTCCTCACTCATTGACAATAAATCCTTGACACGGCCAAATTTCTTAGCATCTCGCCGAATCAAGTAATGTATGTCTTCAAGCGCTAATTTGCCCGGCTTACCCATTTGTAAAGCACGCTGACACATGTGCTGTATGTAGCTCGTTACGATGGTTTCCAGAAGTTCCAGGGTTTTATCGTAGGGTACCTGAAATATAACCACTTAAAGAACTATCATTCAATATGGTATGATAACATAACTGGATCCCATCGCGACACGTCCCTCCTCTTCATCTTTGCTTAACTTGTGGTCCTGATTGTCCTACATACACACTTGTGACCCTGCCATAATCTTCCTCTACTAAATTTTCATTGACAGCATGAAATAACATGTCGTTGGATACTTTTATGATGCATGACATTGTTAAAGATCCGCATGTGCAATCAGGGCAAAAAACATACCTTGTCATCACCAAAACCATAAATCATAGTGCGAAACTCCTTCCGGAAGAGATACTTTTTGTCTTCTGGGTTGTCTTTCCGCTTTTCATCGTCGTCTTCGTCATCAGATCCGAACAAACTGCTGTCTTCATCGAGCATCCCAATCCGTTCAATTCAAATGTATATACTGAAAAAATGCAGCAACATATTTTACATTTCTCATGACATATTACAGTCAAATAGTTCAGAAACCTCGTATCCTTAATGTTTAGATGTTTGCCGTAGAACTAAATTAATAATTTACATTGCAGTCTTAGGATCTGATAATCATGAATATAAACAAAGTTACGGAAATTTAATAGTCGAACTAGTCATATACAAGCCCCCTTGAATTTCCTGACGATTATAAGATTATAAGCATAAATGCTAAACCTTTCAGCCACATGAATATCTCACATCTGGAAAATATGTATGAAGACTCCGGAAGAGATATTGAAGGCTTCAAGCCTGAGTGGAAATAAAGTATTTGCTTTTTTACAGTGATTTAATTTAATAACTCGTAACAAAATTACCAACAATAGTTGCAAGTTCAATAATTTTACAATCTCACAAAGCTCTATTCGAAAATTTTTTAAAAATGTTCCATGAATGATGAAAAGTCATGAATTGGATAAAAAAGCATTGTTCACATTCATAAACTGTTTCATCCGTACAAATGAGCCAACTTTGTATTATATGAATATGCAAATCCTTGTCGAAGCCAAGCACGCAATTTTTGCCAAAACACATGATTCCAACGTCCCTGGAAATGTTAAAACGTCGACAGACAATATGTGTGAGGTATGGATGACAATGCACCAATTACTGATAAATATTTTTATTTAACTTCGTTTTCCTGACCTTCATGGAAAGTCGGACTTTTTTGGCATACGGACGAGCATACAATTTTGTACCAATGGCAGCAAACTTCTTTAATACACTGATCTTCCACCTGTCAGTAGGAAAACGATAAACCATTCTGTACCTGAACAACGTGGACTTTCTTGCTTACAAATGTTTTTCTTTGTTAAAACATATCCTGCATTATTGCTGAAAAGAACGACAAACTTTTCAAGAAGCGATGCCTTTAAAAATTTCAAAACAGCAATTCTTTTCTCTCGTGAACCCATTTTGTGTATAATTCTACAGGTAATTGCTTTTTCTGAATGTATTTTCGCCCAATCGATGGAATACTGTAAAATACACCATGTAAATAATGTCAATCACCAAATGTGAATATTATTTTTATAATTTTCTGAAGCATAATTAAAAAGAATAGTAACCATTTAAAAATGTAGAAATCATACAAGATCAAATTTACCAACCCTTTTCAAACCCGGATAAATTATATAACCACACCACGGTATTGCGCTACATGGACTGACCATTTTGCCAGAAATAAGCAATTCACTACATTCGCAGTAGAAATTAATTACTGTCTTCGTAGAGTCAGCGATAATGTTATAATTATCATCTGCTCCGAAATGCATCACTTCCAGAAACTAAACAAAAAGAAGGGTAATTCTTTTTAATTAAAAATAATTCACCAAAATGAAAACTATACAACAACGATGGTGTTCTTTGGGTCTCTTATCCTCTTCATTCTTTACAACTTACTACTTCTTCTTACAATCTGCTTTCAACTAACTGTAAATTGACATAGCAAAACTCATTAAGCACCTTCTGTGCAACACTGATATCAGTTGTCAATAATAGATAATCATCTACATAACGGATAAGCAATGTATCGCGTCGTTTCATCAGTTCGAAATATCTTTCGCAATCTGCTGCACCAAGGTAAAGATCACATAAACGTGCTGAAGCATGATTACCTTGTGGTATGCCACGAAAAGCACGATACACACCGTTCCGATATTTGAACTGAAAAACCAAATATAAACAATCTAGGATACTAAGTTCCACTCTTCCAAAAGCGCAATTTTTTCATAGACGTTCTGTGAAGTTCTAATGCATTTTTTCTATTAAAAAAAATACCTCTTTATTGATGACGTAAGTTTCAAGAAACCACATGACCATATCACCCGTTACGCACAGCTGAAATGAACAATATGAATGCGAACATAAAGTGGGATGTTGATGTAACCTAAAGAAAAACAGATGGACAAATGAGAAATTTTACTTCTAAAAGGTTGCAATTATGGTCATCAATTCCACATCCAAAACCATATCGCCGAGCGGAAATCAAAGAACTTATTCCAATCTCATCTGCATTTAACCGAAAATGTCTGCAATCTAATCGCTTCACTTTCATATACTCGGGAAATTCATTTAATGAACAAATTAATTAAGAATACAGCAAAAAACTAGAAATATGAAACCGAGTAAGCACCAGAAACAATAAAAATCCTACAAACCACAAGCGAAAGTGTATCACAACGCTAACATCAACATCATTAACAAGCATATGCACGATCTTGCCAAAATATTAAACCGTAATGAAATTTAAAAAAGCGTACTTTGTTAACAAAATATGTTTTTTTAGTAAAGAACGCAAGCGATTTTGACTGATGCAATTAAAACAGTCTCGAACATCTGTTTTCACTGCGTAAATTCTTGTCGATCCATTCATTTGCATGAATCGTCGAAAACGCTTGGGAAATCCAGCAATGCCTAAAATGAAAAGTAAACATGAGAAAATAAAGTTTATATGTTAAAACGATTTTCTCAGAACAGACTGCAAAGATCTTCATTCATTAGAAAAGAATAACAGAAATGCTAAGACTGAATAGATATATAGTTTACACACCAGGGTACAGCAATATAACTTTATTATAATGAATTATTATAGCAATGAAGACGTCAGTATAGTATTGTATACTTAGCAGAGAGAGGAAAATCTACGTATTTACCGTTCCAAACAGCAGCTCCAGTAAGCGGAAGTTCTTTGGAACATCTGCGCTGCTTCGAACATATTAGATCAATAACTGCAGAAACTATCTTCAACGCGATCGCCGAATACTGTCTTAAGAAGCTCTTTCCTGTAGGCACGATTAATGATCGTGTGCCTGAATTTTTCGGAAGAAACCGAACTTGTGCTCCAACTGTATTTTTCATCACTTCTTAAAACACATGAAGGTACTATATGCAAATTTAAGAAAATTTATGTATAAAGTTCATATGCTTAGTAGCAAAAGACATTTCATCACATATGAAAAAATACAACACAGTCACAAATAAAACAACCTTTCACTTTCTTTAATTCCCTTTTCTCAGATAACACGTGGAAACTGTGATTTTCGATACGTTTCCATATATCTTTTCGATAAAAACGTAACAGCCTCGTTCTATTCTCTGGTGTTACATAAAATGCAGCCCTAAGCAGAAACAAAATCACTGGGGGCTAACGGTAAATGAAACTAAACTAAAACTAAGGAAAAGTAGTCCCAGGATCAATCTTGAAAGTATAGATATCAACCTAAAATTTCACCATATTTTATCACATTAATGTTATTTCTGTCCTTTCTTGTTCTCGAACTTATTCCTTTATTTCGGCACTCCCGCAATAGATACATACTTCAGACCTTCTTTCCCAATCCTTTTTTTAATATTCCATAGTATTTTTTTAATGAACAAACAACAAATGCTCACCTAGTAACATCAATAGAAAATTCTAGCAACCAAAGCATGAATTTCCGATGTATGCAGCATAATTCGTGAGATGGTAAATATCTTAACCATTTTAAAGATGAGGTTTTGAACGGGATTGAGAAAAGATCGCTTAACCTTATACTTTCATCAAACCTACAAAACAAAAGCCGATTAATAATTTCAACAATAAAACACTGCTAAAAGCAACTGCTTCCAACTAACTGACAGGCGCAAGATAAACTGTAATACAAAAATTGAAAAGCCATATGAAAGGAAAACGTTGATACAAACAAATGATAGAATTCCATTTTTTAGGTAACGAGAAAGGACATACCCAAGCTTAAACAGAATAGATGAAACATGATCGACAGCAAGCTCCATATTGCATTTTCCGATTAATTCACGTGGTAATAAATAACCAAAAATTGCACGCATAAATGCGCGATATTGCGCATAAGTTACTGATTTCCTAAAATCATTTTATCAAATAAAGCTTATAAATAGAATAAACACACATTATAAGAAACCCTGTTTTACTAGACTCACCAATGGAATATACCAAAATTCTTTTAGTATAGGAGGATGACTGAAGAATGATAAATTAGGGCAGAAGGATATTGGACACGGTCAACACAACACATTCCTTAGTAACATTAAAGTTTACTGAAACTCGACCAATTTTAAAACTATAAAAGGCAGTCTGAAAAATGAAAAAGTTCATAACAGATGTATACTTTTCACAGAATGAAAGAGCTAAATTAAGAAGGAATATGTGAGTCTTTAGACATCAAAGAATGGCAGAAAAATCGTGAAGAAATAATTCACAAAGAAAAGATTAAAAAAAAGATACCTTAATAAATATTCAACATCAGAATCATCCAAACGTGGTACTGTGTGTTTTAGAGAGTACTGTATGGAGAGAGCTGTAAGTCTTTAGCAGATATCAGCGCACTGAATCTCAATATATTCTTGATAATTCAGCGATTATTTCTCTCGTCTCACCAGAAATTCAAAGAAATTCCCGACAAAACTAATAAATTACAACAAATTCGAGTAAATGATAAAGGGAAACAGAACGAGGAAAGTTTCGAAATACCTTCTACGAATGTGACTGCACATTTCTTCTAGAAGTAACTGCTGCAGATGATCGAGTTTGTCGAAATTCTCCGCACCTATCATCACAATGCAGAGCGAAATATCATCAGTATAATGAGTCTGAAAACTTTTAAATTTTTAAAAAAAACTCTGTTTAAGTAAATGTGATATATGAGCGACCTAATCGTAGCACAAAGAGATCCAACATTTACCAATTTATAGAAGCTCTTATAATTTGTCCTTTAGTAACATTGATTAATAGCACTGCAAGAAGTTATCAATGGAACTTAAATCCAACGTTTTTTACACACTTTCAAACTTCTGAAGGAAAACCATGTACATAAATTGCTTGTATAAACAAAAAAACAAAACATAATATGATGCAAATGACAGCTAACCATTCGACCCTGTCGATGATTTAACCAGCTGTGATCAGTGGAACGAAAGCACATGCGAGATGCTATGAAAAATTTCCTTTGTTCAGCCATTTCCGAATCTTCGTGGTCATCTGCAAATGAAGACCGTATTATTTCGAAAATTGGCATATTATTTGCAACTATATCAAAGAGTCTGTAATCATTGTATATGTAGATATTTTGAACTAAATTTGTTGCACTCCTCAAGCAGACGAATAAGTACGCCGCCTTCTTCTTGCTTCACGATCATTGCGATAGCTTTTTAAAAAACCTGTAAAATTACTCCACTGCATCTTTCCATTTGACTGTGACGCGCAAACCTCTTCGAGTACAGTTTTGTCATTGCCCGAAACAATCTTCTTAGAAATATAAATTCCAAATCAAGGAAATAAACCCAATTTAGTTTACTCCCGCCTGGAAAATGCCATCACAACCTCTTTCAACACGAGGAGAATCATCGACCGCGTAGGTAAATTACGACTCCGGCCCGTCCCAATCAGAGATACTCAAAGGTTGACGACGAGTAAAGAGGTCGAGACGTTCGTTATATTCACTTCAACCTCTCACATATGTCAGACCTTTTACAAGTGAACAGCTTTGAACCTGTGAACAATCATATTCTTATCATCCTTATTTAGCCATATTTTACACAAAATTTGATTCAATTAAAGACAATGGAAAAATTTTTTTGAGAGCCAGTCTATATGTATCACTTTATACTGATGGTGCAATTTCATGTAAAATGTGTATGAACACGCTAGAAATTATACGTATTGCAAGCGTATATAGAATTTTTTTAAAAACTTATGAGAACCATAAATATATTAGTGTAGAAGTGGTCTATACGAACATTCTAAAAGAATTCTATCAAATAATATTGCAATCCACCTCTTGTCGACTTGCTCTCTCAAAGGATTCTGCCACATTTTGATTATTTCCATAAGTTATTACAATTATTTCAGTGTTCTTCATATATGCATGCCGTAATACTTCCCATTAAATTTTTTTTCTGAAGCTTATACGCAACGGAATAAGTTAGTTGCTTGAAATTAGTGCAGCCCTTTTATCTCGTGACCTTTCATTATCATTTCAATCTTAGACAAAGTTCATAAACCCAGAACGCATAAGACAGGATATTAATGGAAACTAATTTTTTCCTTTCTATTGTGTTGGCATTTATCATTGAGTCACTGTAAACTCGATGTCATAATCCATTTACAATAAATGTGAACGTTCCACGAATGTGATTATGCTCCACCGTTTTTCAAAAAAAAGTTTATGCAGCAAAATCATCAGTTGCGAATGGCTGACTGAAAATATTTCTCATGCGATTGTCCAATAGCTAATAGGCTAATGTCATTGATATGGTACAAAGCCATGTCGAATATTTTGGAAATCATAGCAGAATGGTATTTCCATTTTTTTTGATTTCCATCAAAAAACCGATCTGACGATAGATACATTAAGAATTGTTATTCCTGAACCACCAATATCCGGTTTTATCAGCAACATGTTCATATCTGTATATGAATATAAATTTTTATTAGCATTTTAGAAGTATTTTAAAAAGAGTTGTAAATACGTCTTCACAGAAACTAACAGGGTCGAAATATAGTAAACTATAAGTACAAGATTGTAGCATTGTCTCTCATTTTAGAATCAAATCGTACTTATATAACCTGGTGTTATATTTCTACCATGCGGTTATCAATCGAGCATTCTGTAATATCATCACTAAAATTTAACCTGGTTATTTTACATATTATTTGAAACTCATTGTTTCAATTGTAACTTTTGTTCAGTTCCAGTGTTCAGTTTTCGTTGTAACTTTTAACTACGAAATGCTACATCTGGAAAGAAAGAAACCACATTTGAAGCTACTCACTATATTTGAAATATGCGACTAATTTATAAATATGAAGTCGGTGAAAATCACTGACTAGAAGAGTTAAATTTGTAATTTGGTGCAGGACCGGTTTATTGTATGTTGATACTGTAGAATAAAGCTGAAATTATGTGCAGTTTCAACTTTATTCTAAACATTTAAAGTATATTGTCTCCATCCAATAAAATTTGAAATTCTGCTTAAAAATTTCCGAATGAACTTATTAATCTCATGCAAAAGTTGAACTCATATGATTGTTTTTTTAATTGAATCCCTTAATTTTCATGCAACAATATGGCATTTTAATATGAACAACGAAGTATGGCATTTAATAACACATGTAATAATTTTGATTTTACAGTTCATTGCAAAATTATAAACCATGTTAATTTGAAACCACTTAAAATACGTTATGAAACTTGCTCATGTACAATTCATCCCACCATCGAAGTCGATTATAAACTTTTCAATGCTTTTTTGACAGTCGCGGACAATGATTTTTTTGAAATACTAAGCACCATTTTTAGGATGATTAAAATATTTTGTTTGTTTGTTACACATGCAAGATCTATTACAATAAAAAATGATACGAGTGGAAAAATTTGCAACAAAAACAGGAGGATAGTGGCATAATGAAAAAGCAAAAGCAGAGTGCTGAAAGGAAGTAATATCCTGAACTACACAATGATTTTTTTCTTTGTGATTACTGGGAATCCATAAAATTTTAACATTTTAAAAGCAAATATAAGAGATGCAATTATAGTAATAATAAAAACCAGAAATTCGTGACTCACGACATTTCATTCAAAAATTTGTACTTTTTGAATCAATCTACAAGTTCTCAAGAAAACTACAATCAATATAAAAAATTCGACAATTTTTCGTTTAAATGTGGAATTATGTTGAAGCGAAGAGGGTAAATGGTCTTTATAAATTGAAGTTGGAACGTGGTTGATAGATGTTGCTCGACCTGTTTTTCGATTTCAGAAATATATGTTGAAAAGTTTTTAATTTGAAAATATTTCCAAAAATTTCTATTCTAACAAAGAACCTCGCTATTACAAACACACAACCCATGGAAAGAAACAATGATGACAGGCCTAGCAGTTTCCGCAATTGGTTTTTTCAATTCTATTTGTTGTTGTGCTTTGCTGTTATTATCTTCTCAGAGGGTACCAGTGTAAGTCAACTTCCTTTTGCAAGGTAAACAGTATTGGACGTTTCAATTTGCATTTTCATGATTAAAATTAACATTAGCAAATTAAGTGACAAAATGGAAACAATATTTTTAGACCATGTTTGCATATTGTTTTCCAGAAATTTTTTTTAGTCAAATGTTATTTAAGCATTTGGCGATATTTTTGCATGCATTCGGAATGTCTTCCTGTTCACTTCAGAGCATAAAATTCACATTTTACTTTCAGTTAACTACATTGACAAATTCACGAGTTGAAAATTTGGTAAGCACTAGACCGAAAGGGCATATTTGTTGCTGTTGTCCCATGATATTAACATGTTGTGTTGCAGTACTGCCATTGCAAACTGCTACTGTAGGTGTTTTACGAATTAATTTTTCTTTTTGAACCATTGAACACAATTTACTATAATATTTTTCACAAATGTGATCATCAGTTTCATTGTTTGTAAAGGAAATTTGTCCATTTTCTAATTTTGAAAACATCTCTCCGTTTTTAAATATCTGCAAAATGTTTTTTTAAGGAATGCCTCCGATACTGCCGCCAGCTTCTATAATGGAACCAATCCCAATTCCACTGCCAATATCAAGTCCACGACCAGTAATAATGCCGGTACTGCATTCGCTACTAACACTGCCATCACAGCCAATGCCTCTACCACGACCAGTAGCAGTGCCTACGCTTCCGATCCCTATTTCTAGGTCATTTGGCATGATAGGTGTTTCATGTTGTGTTTGTTGCAGCTCGTTGCACCACAACCGTATGCGGCAGATTTGGTCGCAAGAAACGAACAATTGCCATGAATAAGTATTATGCTTCAAATCGACTCTTTTTGGCATAAGTTGAATTCTACGCACGGATGGAATCTCTGCGAATGAGGGTCACGTTAATTGGGTAATTGAAAAAATGGATAGGGTGATTGAGAAGCTATCTTAACCTGCAGAATCTAGACTAAAACACTACTCTGTTTTCAAATCTATCTTTGAGAAAAAATCTTCTCAAGCCATAATTTTGGAATCCATTTGTTCTCAACCACTTTGAAACTTGGTACAAATGCAAAAATTTTGTATGAATACAAACTGAATTTCGAGAGTCAGAGAAAGGGAAGAAGCTGCGATAATTAAGAAGAAATAGAAAGGAGGCAATTATTGACCATTTGTGATCAACCAACCGTGCTTTTAATGTTATTAAATAAAAATTTCGATTTGCAGTAGTTTTACACAAGTTCTCGACTGTCATGCATGTATGTCCTTAAATCTTGATTCTAAGGAGAAAGTCGGTCTTCTTGCTTGTTAAGAAAATCTCTTTCGGATATCAGGCCGAAGTAAAAATTTTTGAAGACAAAAAATATCTTCTGATACTGATATAAATATAACCTGGGATACTGAAGTAGCTCTATGTTATATGTAATATAAGGCTACAACGCGCACTACACAGGCAAACGAAATTTTCGTTTCCTTTTATTTATATTGAACTCTTGCAGAAGCGATGAATTTTCATCTGACATCAGTTAATTTGGTCCACCGTATGTCCAATACTCGAACTCCTTCGGTCAACTAGAAATATTCACAGGTTACAAGCTTAAAATATGTCATTGTATGAAATGTTCATACAATATTGCGGTTTGTTGTGACTTGCAAGCCAAAAAGTACCACAAGATTGAATAGACGATAAAGATGGTAGGAACGAAATTATGACAGACTGTGAAAGTTATGACAGATTTCCTAGCGGTAGCTAATGAAATTGGTCACGCTATAAAAACTTAACGTAGGGATGTTTGATCGTATGATCTTTATCTCTTGTTTGGGTAATGTATTATTGGAGCAGGAAGGACAAGGGAAGAGAAAAAGTTGTTAGGAATCATTTCTCACTTCCATTCTCGAGAAGGTACCCTTTCCGGCTCCTATTTCCTTGGACTACGACCTCCAATGAAATTTTAATGTGCTTCTATACGTCAAGGTTACTTTGGTGCGGCCGAGGGGCGGTGGGCAAACAGAGACACGGGCAAATAACTTACGAATCATTCGCCATATGAGTAAATTCTTGGAATTGGGCGGCATGGAATTTGTTGAATGTAATTTAGTTTAATCATCTTGAAATGATGTTTATATTGTAGATAGGAATGATTTTTTACCGCAAAGTTTTGCACATTTTTATCTGTTGCAGATTGGTGGGAATATTAGTGCAAAATTGGATCATGCCTTTGTGTTGCATTAGTTGTATTGGTGTTGTTGCCGTGTCATTATATTTATTTTGAGTGAGAATGCTTCTTACGTTGATGGAAATTTTAGGATCTATAGTTGAAGATGACCGGATTAATTGTTCCAGAAATATATACTCGCGAAAACAATACTGACCATAATGGGCGAAAGGTGCCAATTTCCCCCACGAAAAAATTTAATTATGGCACAGCCGGCTTTCGAGCAAATGCCATCTATCTACCTTTTGTTGTATTTCGTGTTGGATATCTGGCTGGTATTCGTGCCAGGTATTCCATTTTAACATTTTAACAACATTTTAACATTGGATTGAATATTACAACGATTATCTTTAAATCACTAACTTTTATCTCTATTAATGTAAATATACCAACCTAATTTGAAAAGCTGAAACTCAACATGTTAGTTTTTATTAACTCTTTGTATTTCCCTCTTTTTTTTCGTATCTCAACAATATTTAGTATCCTTAATGTGGCTAAGCTAGTTCTGCACTCCATATTTCAGGTATTTAGATCAAACTGTGGGTATAATGATAACGGCATCGCATAATCCGATCGAAGATAATGGAGTGAAGATAATCGATCCGATGGGAGGTATGTTGGATGCTGTATGGGAGAACTATGCAAATTTGATTGTTAATGTCAGGTTCGTTTTTGCCGTGTCATTGCAATTTTTTTTTTACTTTATTTGAGTATGTTTATCATTTACTCGTTATGTCGTTCAGCATTGCCTAGTATTCGTCTACATAATTCTGAAAAGCGAAATTTTTATGTTCAGCGACAGTGAATTCCTGAAAAAGTCACAAGAATTTCGACGGCAGTTCAGTGGAAAAATTGGCGAAAATGCCAATGTTTTTACAGCCATCGATACACGTCCAAGCTCTAAATATATAGAAGAAGCCGCATTTTGTGGAGCGCAATGTGCCAGAGTTGGTAGTCGAAGGCTGGGTGATTGATTTAATATTTAATGGATGGATCACACGTGCATGAAACTGAAGGAGAGAATTTCGTTACTTTTTGTAGACAACAAGAAACATGTAATCCTTCAAGAATGGGTTGTAGTATTAAATTCCCCTTAGTTAAGCAATCTCTATAGGAACCCGCCCTATCGCACTGTGTTGACAGACTGAAATCAGACGGTAAGAAGCAATGATAACCAAATATAAGAATTGATTAATATGAATCATTGATCAGTTGGCATATTAAAACTTTTTTAAGAGGTTAATATTCCTGTTCTTTGTGCAGTTGCGGAGAGATTCTTCATAGAGCTGTGGCATTTTTTGTTGAAGTTTGCATAAATGGTTGTAGGACATTGAATTTTGAAATTAGCAAAAAATTTCGAAAAACTTTCGTGGTAAGGTGAACTCTAATTTTTGTGATAAAGTGAATTCAGTGGTAGTGATCACGAGTACCTCATAGTTTATTCTTGGCTTAGAATAATTTTAGGTTTATTAACAACTCCTCAGTTGCACTATATAGTTCGATGTCAGAATGATTGCGCATATGGTTCTCCCACTGAGCCTGGATATTACGCAAAAGTGCATAATGCTCTCGCTGGTTTGAATTTCGTAAGCTTTCACATTAACTCAAAAAGTATTTAATGTGATCTGTTTTCCACCGCTTCGGATTGCAAGTTATTTTTCAAATTGGCAACCTATAGTTGCAACCACTGACCATAAATAGATCCTTCAAAGCTGAAAAGCGATACAACAGGTTACACGACGTGGAAGAGCGTATACCCCAACACTATATTTGGATTGTGCAAATGGTGTTGGTGCTCAAAAGTTTTCTTTTATATGCAAAAGATGGTCGCTTCTTGATGTCACTTTGATAAATGATCAGGAATCACAACTCAATGATCAGGTATCTTTGATGTAAGCATTGTGCCCCATTGATGGCTATTTCATTTTCATATCATTCAGCAGATCATGAGTTTAATTGGCAGCAATCTGTTCTTTTACGAATATTTACATTGCACATAAGTTTTCGTTTTTCCCTCATTTTTATAGAAAAAAAGCGATTATACAGATTTACTGCTTCTTATTGTAATTTTTTATAGGTTTAATTCAATTTAAGAACTGGTATCTTGGGTGTCAGAAGGCAATAGAGATTATTATTTGTCGCTTGATTTCTTTCAATCATAGCTTTTTCTGTCAAAGTACGACTAAACACTGTAATTGTTTGTACGTCAAGCAGTGTGCGAGACATCCAGATTGTTCCTAACAAGCATGGAGATTCTAATAAAGTTGAGATCTCTGAAGTCATAAGTGTATATGAATTCAGACATCTTAACTGTATTAGAACAGTGTGTCTTGGAATATACCAGTATTATTATACAAGTATAACTTAACCCACGATATAATCGATATACGTAAAAAGAGTAATAGTTGGGAATGAATAGTTCTGAAAAGGAGATTTGACGGCACTGCTGACGTGTAGCTGCATCTGAATGATATAAGAAATACGGCACATGGAGTGGTCACTATAAATTAATTGCTCTGCAACTGTTCTTTGTCTAGATACTGATTTTAGTGCGGAGCAGACTATATTAAAATAGAAAAAAAATTTCCACGCAATTTCGACAAAATACAAGCTTTTGAACGCTGTGCCGCTTTTGATGGTGATGCCGATCGTCTTGTTTATTTCTATCGTGATGCTTTGAATGAATTTGTTTTAATTGATGGTGATAAAATAGCAGCTCTTTTCGCGAAATATATTACAGAGGTATGCAATTCTTTTCGCAACAATGGATCTGACAGCTTAGCCAGAAAGTGCAAAAATTATGAAACTATCTTTTGCAGCAAGTTTGTGGTGCTGGACTCAGTGATGTATTTACAGTATCAGTAATACAAACAGGTTATGCAAATGGTAACTCCACCAAATTCCTGAAAGACGAAATGGTCAGTGCAGATGTTGATTCATTTATTTTGAGTCATTACTATCGATCGTGCCAATTGCAGTAAAAAATATAGTTTTCGCAGCTATTCTCGAACCTATATTTCATTTGATTGTGATGTTTCAAAATATCGGAAAAGATATTTTGGATCACAGTTATATTAGGGAAATTCAAAGAATTACTGGAAATCTAAAATATGTAAGTTAGCACAAAATTATTGTTAACCCTATGTGTGGAAGAGTGCAATCACTTATTAATGCACTCAACTTTTTTATAATTTTAGGGTATACATGTACGTTGTGTTGCACCTGGAATTAAAAACTTACAGAAAGAAGCAATGAAATATGATATTGCGGTGTATTTCGAAGCGAATGGACATGGAACTGTATATTTTAGCCCTCGATTCTATGATATTATAAGGTCATTTGGCTGTCATTATTACATTGTTAAATACATTCCTTTCCAGAAATTCAGTAATATTGTTGATACTGAAAAGCAATTTTCCAGGACAATAATCACTCATAAGGATGAAATTGACCAGACAATTGAAATCAAAAGGCTGCTTTGTTTCTCCAAATTGCTGAATACAGTTGTGGGCGATGCGATGACCGATTTGCTTGCTGTTGAAATGCTTTTGAAACATTATGATTGGACGGTAGAAAACTGGAATAGTATATATAAGGAATTACCCAATGTGCAGAAAAAACTGAGGGTGATTTTTTCCCCGAGATAATTATCATTGAAAGAAGAGCCATTCTCCCATTCCATACCACTTAATCAAATTTTTTAGTTAGTGCTGGAAGTGCAGTACCGAAATGGGGTTGGGTCAAATAACACAAATATCTTTTCTTTTATGAAAATGACAAACAGGTTGTGGATCGGTCGATACTTCAAATGAGTGCTGATGAAACAACGTGTGTAAAGCCACCGAAACTGCAAGGAATGATAGATACTATTGTTTCGAAATACACTGATGGTCGCTCATTTGTCCGGTTAGTTACTTTTTTTCGATTGTGCAGTGAACAAGCAGGAATATGGAATACAAATCTCTCACTCGAGTTAAGTCTACCAAACATTTCATTTTAGTCCATCTGGTACGGAAGATGTAGTACGTATTTATGCTGAGGCAGCAACAGAACACGATGCGAAAGCAATCGCTAATAAAGTAGAGCTTGTAGTCTGTGACATACTGTGCATGAGTCATAATGCATTTGAAGAGTAATTAACCGACAGGAATATCAGCGAAGTGTTTTTTTCGATAGCATGTGAATTATAAATGTATTTAAAAGCGCGTAACCATCTCTTTTTTACTTAGGAACTGAATGCATCAAGAATTTTCGGTAATTTATTTCCAATTATAAACAAAAAGCTGAAAACGCTTATTTCACAAATCTTGTTCCTGCTCTTTTAGCCATTTCTTTCGCTGTTCTCTAAATTTTCGCAAATTCAACTTTGTACACATTAGACGTAACATTTTGCAATGATTCTGAAAAATATAATTGTAGACTTTATAAGAACTGAAGACTCGCTAAAATACTCCCGGAAGGGCTCAGCTAAATAAGGGATGTAACGTTACCTTCAAGAATTGCGGAGAACTCTTCCCGTAGCTAACTATGAATCTATAAAGTGAAGCTATTTTTTTCGATCTTCTAATGATCCACTGCGCTATATAAGCCATCAGATAGCATAGAAAATGATATGGAAGACTTCTAGATAAGGCTTCACTGCGTTATAAAATGCAGGAAAACATACAAGTGCGGTATAATGTCAGTCAAATTTTTAGATCGAAAGAAGGAAATATACCCCAATTACTGCCTTCGATAATTCGTCCATTAATTTTTCTTTCTCCATAATATCATAAAGATTATTTGCCCACAGAACATCGAATACATAGTTTGAAACATTATTAGTTATCACTTCATGCCATTTCAGCTGCAAGTATCAAATAATGGATACCAAAAATCGGGTTTAATATCCGCAAGAAGCTTTAAGTTTCTAAAACAGTTCTGTAAGTTTGTCGATGAACCCGTAAAGGCATCAAAAAAACGAACTTTTTAAGTGATGCAAATTATTAACCTTCAGTGGTTTGGCTATCAGTTCTTTGTCAGTTCGCGAAACTGTAGAAGATTTGAATAGAGCCTGCAGCAAGAAACTCCCTTTCTTGTCTCGAGCCAATTCGAGAATTGTTGTATCAGTTAGCGATTTTATTGACATAATTACCGTTTTGTTATGCTCATAATTTATAAGTTCTTGAAGAATAAGGGATCCATACAGCTGTCCTTTCACAACATCAAAAGTTCCCATAACTACAACGGACCTTCAAAATCAAATAAACAACTAATATTCCATCAGTTGACTACCAATGATACAAATTGGAAAATTTACACTGTTCAGAAGTCCGACAAGCAAGAGTAAACACGCAGGGTACAAATGCTGGCCTTGCAGATCTAGAACGACATCCGAAGTAATTCCGTAGCTTTTTAACAATAGCCACTTCATTTTTATTGTGAGCCATTTGAACCAATGCAACAATGATTCCCCATTTAAATTCAGCACAAATATCCATGAAATGGCTCATAAGTTCGTCAAACACATTAATAATCTGAAATAATAACTGGTGAAACAAATAGACTTTTTGGAGTGTATTTGAAAAACATCCACCTTACTATACTCATTTTTAACCGTACAGTGAAGAACGAATATATTACTGGATCTCTTAACTGGAACAATTAGTATTTTTTGAAAACTCATTTAAAACAAGGGCCAACGCGCATATTTTATTTATTCTATTTTGATTTAGTAGTTCAAAAAAGCTACTAAATACGTACCAGTTCATTTGATTTTACTGATAACATATATTTTTGCACAGGGAAATTGGCGAACATGTGTAAAGAGAGATAGAACAACTTGCCTTCTAGAACGGAATGATATAAAATTTGACGTAGATCTTCATCAGCCTATAAATAATAGAAGATTACAGCAATTTACCCCAACGCTCCACTTAAAACTAAAACACAAACCTTCTGCACTATAATGTCCCATAAATGCGAAGCCTGTTTTCCCTTCCACTGTTTTAAAACGGAATCAGGATCCCTGCAGGCTGCTTTGACAAATCTTCGAAGATAACCGGTTTGCACAACAGAATCACACTCGACCACATCTTGTAGTACCAAAGAAACTGATTCATTGTTCAACAAAGCTATAAGGTATATTATCTACAGATATTTGTGAAACACTCAATACTAGATCAAAGAACTAAGTTTAGGACATCAATTTCTATTCTCGTTCTCAAATCTTCAGAATTGAAGCTGGAAGTGCTACTGAAGTTCACTTCTGCCACTAACCGTTCACCAAACTGTAGTTCAGAGCCACACTTGCAATCTTTCCAAAACTTTTCTTAGCTGCTTGATTGACCTGTATTTTTTTGGACAGAACATCCCCCATTAAACATTTTTCCGTCTCTTCCGATCTCTTCCTTTTAATGCCAACAAGGTGAAATATAAGAGTGCGAATAAAATGAATGGCATTTCTGTCAGATATTAACTGAATCCAATTCTCTAAAACTAGATCCACCCAATGATGAATGATCTGGAATGATAATGATCAAAAAAGAAAAATTACTTAAAAAGCGATGATGACAGTCATGCTGGAATACTTAAGCATTTGTAACATTCAGAAATGAATAAAATCCCATATGCCAAACCAAGCAGATTTTATAAGAAAGCAAAAGCTATAACTTTCTTATTTCTCATTTCTACCAAGCAATATTTGTTCGTAATCTCTAAGAACATATAAATCAGTTCAAGAATTGCGAGTGAGACTAACTGAAGTGATACCTTGGTGTCTAGAACATTAGATAGGGAAGAAAGCAAGCATTCCAAAGTATGACAGGCCCAAGGCATGCAGATGAGTTGCAGCGAAGTCTCTTTTCCCGATTGCATAATCTCAATCATCCATTGTTTTGCAGCATCATGGTAGCCATTGAAGATTTCGTCAATTAGAAAGCAAGATGTACTGTATTTGCACAAAGAAATTTCAGAACCTCGACATTCTTCCAAACATTTTCTTTGTAAATCACCTAGAAATATACGACCCTCCGATGCAATCAAACTATATCACAATGATAATTTTCAAATACTATCTGTCTAACCCTAGGCGATGAAATACCTGATACAACGGGATCATCCTTGATAATGCAAGCAATTTGTTTCATGTATTCGATAAGCTCGGAAGGATATTCCATGCTGTGTTCAAAATTTTCAGCATTTGCGGTTAATTTGTTCCTTTCATAAAAATCTGTTTCCGAAGTCCTGGTCCATCGCTGGCTCGAGTTTTTTTTTTTCCATCTCAAAAAAACTGAAGAGTAACTGAAGAGTTGCGGCCTCTTAACACTTGAAAGCAAAAATTTAAATAATTTCTTTAGATAATTTCTTAAAAAAGATTCATATCGTCGAGTACCGCTTATCAATAAGAGCTCAACAAAAATGCTATCCAGATTCATGTGTAGCACGCACCATATCTTGCAAACCAGATTTTAATTTAAAAAAGCAAACCATACTTCTTATCATATTCAGTACGTCCATATCGCTTGTCAAAATCTTTCGTAAATTCACTGCTCCAAACATTATCCATTGCTAAAAGTGAAACTGAATAGTGTGCTTTCAAAGAAAATGAATGTTTCTAATTTGCTCTTGAAACCTCTCTATTGATACTCTCTAAAAGTATGGTTGTAATCTGATTTACAAATTGAATAACATCTCTATTATTACCACCGAATACATTAGGATCGCGAACCCTGCAACACTTTTCTGCATCGTCTACAATTTTTCTTTTGCGAGTCATCTGAAAGAAAGGACAATCTTTGCATCCATGTTCATCAACAAATTACGGAAGATTACTTCCTCATTCCTCCTCAATTAATAATGCACAGTTCCATAGAAGTAATTCTGCCCAAACTTTCAATACAAAGTTTAACAAGATAATGTAGAACCTACTCTTAACTTGAATCACCCTTCTAGCAAATCTGAACAATTTCTAAATCAAAAATAAGTACTAGCCAACACTTAGCATTAGAAATGAAAATTAAGGAACTGAAATATGTGGGTTGAATTGGACAGCAATTCATGCACAAAACAACAGCTGCAGTGAGCAAACTCTTAATGCAAAATTAACATGAAACAGAAACAATTACATTATAAAATGCGCAAAGTATGACACAAGTGATAATGTACTCATACACCTCATACATATGTATTCCATCAATATCATAGATAAAAAGAACAGATATTAACACGACTAACAATGACTGAACAGATCGTGCTGAGCATATATGTTATGGTTGCTTCAATCTCAACAGTTTTCGGAAGGAACAAAAGATCTTTTGCTGCAATCTCAACAGTTTCGTAAAGAACAACTGATGAGCTTTTTCACACATCTAAATTTGAAAGCATCAGAATACTACTTTTCAATAATATCATGTTCTGAAACAAAGCTGACAAAGAAAAATATTTTCTAAATCTGGCATAATGGACATTTTAGAATTCCAACAGAACTATACCAATACATTCTCGAAAAACAATATCCAAAATTAACAATTTCTTACAAAAGAAAAACTGGATTATCTATTCCCCCTTGAGAACTCTATAAGCAACAATTCCACTTCGTCATTACTTGTACTATAAAATAAAAAATTGCCGAAGTGTTATTGTAATTGTTTACCGGCTGGTAAGATCGGTATAGTAGACCTGTTGTCGCTAGGAACACCTAAATAAAAACTAAATGAATCATCAGAAAATTGCCGCTGTTATAAGATGGCAGAAATGTATACTCAACACAGAGCAAAACGGTCAACAACGGGAAATGAGTATTAAAAAAAAATTAATAAAGAACAGGAAGACACCGGGTAGCTGCAGTATTATTATGTTACTTCAGTCTTTAACAAAATATCGTCCAACCTTTCAATATTCCTCCTACAATTTCTTGTAAATCAAAATGATTACTCAGTATCTTAAGGCAATTCGTGTTACTGCAAAGTTAATACTATTTTCCACATTGAAATCCAAAAAGCAAATAAAATTAGCCATGAAAAAGCAGAAGCAAATGACTGTCCATTATTTCCCACAGTCTATGGACCTATTTAATAAACAAGATACCAATTCGCTCCCAACAAAAGTGAACTATACGTTAATGCCAATTTAAAATTCCTAGTAATTTTTTAAAGTCTTGTAGTTCTGTGATATAAAATTGAGAATAAAATGAGCTATCATAATAAAACCTGCACTGCATCATCGTAAGATAAACACAAATCCATTTGAATACATTTTGAATTTGCGAAGAAAAAGGAAACAAAAAAAAGAAGGAATATGAAGCAGCTGTTGCTGCTTTGCTAGTAAGCCAAGAAATGGCGTCTACAAAACATTCGCAGAAAAATGAATTTTACCAACAATATACAGTATTAAAATTTGAAAGCAAAGTATCCAAGTTCAGTAACAAAAGTAGCCCACCGGCAATAGTACTAGATATATCTCATTCCTCAATATGCAGAATTTATAAAAACCATATTCGAATATAATATTACGCTATAACAGCAAATAAACATGCCGCAGCAAGCGGAAGTGATATGAGCGATAGGAATTGTTACCGTCCACAAACGCTACTGATTGTTAAATTGACAGCTTACGATATTTAAAAATTAAAAAAAAAATCAGTATTGAATCGAACAGCAGGAAGAAACAATATTTTCCCATGAAAAAATGTAAAGCTTCATTACATCCTAATTATCTGTTTTACTTCGTCATCCTTATTGATCTCAAATCTTCAACTACCGTAGTCAAGAACTGAAATTTATAAGTTTATAAAATTTGCAGAATTGATGCAATATCAAAGGAAAATATTTGCTAATTTGGTAATTTTACACATACCAACAAAATGCAGTCAGCGAGGATATAACCGTACTGGCAAACTGGAAAAGCAAATCATAAAAATGCACCGGTAAAAATTATTTTGTTAAGGATGGTGTTTAAACCAATAAAATCGAGAAATCATCCCCTTCCCACATATGTTATATACTGAGACGTTAAAACAGTGCTTTTTAAGAGAAAACAATGCAAGTTAATCAAAGCACACATACTAGGAATTCTTGAGCTTATTTATGCAAACCGTATAACTTGGCAGATGCCCAAATAATTGTGAAAATTTCAAATAATTACGCATTTACGCTTTTTTCGCGGTTTGATACACTGTTTTTCTTTATGTTTGCGTATTTCCCTAACCAGCGTATAGAATGCGTCGTCGACACCCATACGTGTCTTGGCAGACGTCTCCACTGCAGGCATTCCTAGTGAGCGAGATGCGTCCAATATAGCACGTGATTCTACTGTCCTTTGCGCCAAATCACATTTGTTGCCCACGAGCACCATCGGTACCTGCAACAACATCTCCTGTATTTACACCAATCACTTGTGCACTCCGCATTTCCCCACCGACAGTATCACCGTAAAAACCAAAATTTCCCACCCACGTAAAACATATAGTAAATTTAAAGTAACTTAAGCTGGCGATAGAAAAGCAACTTGCCTCATCACTATCTTTAACTCTTCGAATCTGATCACGATACTGAGTAACATTCTCAAAACTTTTTGCTTCATTAACGGCGAATACAAGCAAGAAGCCTTCACCAGTCCTCATATACTGATCTCGCATTGCACTATATTCTTCTTGTCCTGCAGTATCCAAAATATCCAGTAGACAAGTTTCACCATCGATTACAACCTGTAAAATGCAAAACATCATTTACGGGTTACCATAAAGCAATTTGAAAAGAAAGTATTAAAAACGCAATGCCGCTGAGAATTAATAAGAACGTAACCTGCTTGCGGTAGGAATCTTCAATTGTCGGATCATATTCTTCAACAAAATGATTCTGAATCAGCTGAATGGTTAAGGCTGACTTGCCTACACCACCATCACCAACTACTACGAGTTTGTATTCTGTCATCGAAATCCCCTCAGCTCTATTAATTTACTTTTAGCTTAATCACTCTTCATTCGAAATAAGAGCTGAAAAAGAAAACAAATCACTATATCGCGAAGATAATAATTACAGACATGCGTCGTAAAAAGTGAAAGTCTCAGGACGTGTTTTCTTTTTAAAGCAATCATACAAGAGATACAGTAGTGATTTCAATCCTTAGAAATAATTAGATAAATAAACGTAACACAATTCGAAGTAACGCAAAATGTGTAAATAAAGGGAACAACAACAAAGCTTACTGGAAATATGACAATAAACTGCAAAACAAGACAGCTCATCCCCGAACCGGTTGATACAAAGAAAAATATATTTCATTGATGGTCAAGTTCTGTACACATCTTTAATGTGCTGCGAATAGCTTTCGAGGAGTGCTGCTTCTTATAGAAAGCGTTTTACGAATGTCACAACAATAGCACGACTTTTATAGTCAAATTCTCACTTCTCTGAGAACAGCCTTTTTTACACATTAGAAGAAATTAATGCATCATGAGCGGAATAAGGGAAGCTGTATCATAATAGTAAGGATTGACGAACTCCAAACTAAAATATTAACCAATTCGGCATAGAAAATGACGCAAAGCTTTATCAAAATATTTCCAATATATTGTGGTAAAAATCCACCAACAAAAAAATAGCATGATCGTTTTTGATATACACAAAAAGTCACATTTTTTTAATAACTTTACATACAAGGAGTTAACGAACGGCTAGACGCCTAATAGTTGACATAGCTTAATACAGTGCACATTATGCATTATTGAATCTCGCAAGTAACGAGACTTATAAGTTTTAGTTGCACATTACTCCATCTTTATGCATAAAGGTATAACATTTAGACAACATCGAAATGCAAGCAAAAAAGTCAAACAGGAGATGACAGTATAGTGGTATCAGCACTTAAGAAACTAATTTCACATAACGTGCGCAGGAATATAATGCAGCACAAATAAAGTGTTGCAGCAGACATCACAAAGATACTGGATGTTCGAGGTAGCCGATCGAACAACTCAACTTCTTATAACATGTCATTTAGTTGCTACTTTATTGTGACAATCTTGTTCTCAACATGACTAAATATTCTAGAAAGATCGGTAATCGCTTTACCCTGTTCCTCTCTCAGTTAGGAAATCTGTCAAAGGGACAGCAATGTAACAGGGCGCCTAGATCTTCCAGTCAACAACCACAACAGTACATCACATCCAACCTACCCACTCCCCACCTTGAACCAAACTGCCAAACCGAATCTGGAAGACCTGTTTTCTGGCGCCGTGCCAACTACCACTCAATCAGCATGATAATTGTGACTGTATCACTTTGTTGGACACTCAGTGCAACCATCTGTGTGTCTCAGCTTATAACAGTCTCGAAATGCTGCACTGCATCGCACCGTTTTCCATTTCCTTTAATCGCTCTTCCTTTTCTTTCCTCTTCTTCTTCGTCACTGTACCCAAAATCTTGTGCACCGTGCAAAATTTTTTTCTTAAGTCTGTTATCCCACTTAAGTCTGATATTGCCACTTTCTGCTTTCATTTTCCATGACTACTACAATCATATGTTTGAAGCAAAGTTGTAGTTGCAGTCACTGTTTGTTGCACATGCATGTATGTGTTCTTTTAGCATAGCTTGAAGCTGCACTAAACAAGTACACATACATGCAGTTTATGTCAGTTAATTTTTCCATCCCGGACGTGATGTTCATTAAAAGAACATTGGATAATATAGGTTGATTTCCATGCAGTGCGATAGTCTCTCCTCGATTTTCAGGTTACAGATTACTATACAATAATTAGTAAAAGATAATTAATTAGTAGCACTATGATTCTTGGACCTGTGAAAGGTACATCTGTCGCGTTGGATAATTGATTTACTCCTGACACTTATTAATTGACCTTTTTTCTCTAAGTCAGTTACGATCTACTGCAAGTCTTATCGGTCTTGTCTTATTTGTTTACGTTACAGCGTGTGTATCCTGACTATCACTTATGTCAGTCAAGCTTTATATCCTTTTTTTTCTGATAACGTGGTAATTCTCGCAACTTCAGTTGACCAGCTTGTTATGTATTGAAGATACTTTTTTTATCTTTCATTGTTTAAAGTTTTATTCCTTAGTCGTTTAAAATGATAAGGTAATCAATCAATAGTGCATGTTCTGGTTATTTGAAGAAATCAAGAAACATAATGATTCATTGCGTTATGATCAATTTTTCTTTCATTGAAATGAAAAAACAAAGCAGCGATTGTACAGTGATCATTATTTGATGTGTTCATTTTTTTACTGATGTCTCTTTTTTTGTATGGACTGCCTACAGTGGTAGGTTGGAAAAAAGCTTTTAGCTATCTTGGAAGTAATGTCGCTTCGTAACTGACAGCTTCGGCATCACAAAAGCGCACAGATTTTATTTATTTGGTTGAAAGATAGAAGCGAATTCAGACCTTTAGTATGGTTGATGCAACAATATAAATACTCGAAATAAAAAACGGTTTATGAAAGTATAGTATCTTGTTATATCATTGATATAGTATAGTATTTTAGGATATTGGCGTGATTCATTTGTTGGCATCTAAATTTTTGCTGAATCGTGCTTATTTCCGATATTAGAGATCATCAAAGTTGTTTTCATTAGAAATAAACTTGAAAATTTTATGATTGAATCATTAAGGAATACTAAAGTTTAAGTATATATGTAAAGAAATAAATAAACATACGAATATATTCAACTGCATCATCAAAGTACAATTTGACCTTAATGTAGGTGGTGAGGTTGTCTCGCTGTGACCAGCGGTTGCGCTCGTTACAGTCTTTTCTGAATTAACTTGTTGTGAAAGTTGGAAGCTATCTTTTGTTTCTTGCTTGTTTCCCATTTCATTTCCATATATATGGTCATTAGTATCGAACACTTCAGAAGTGTTGGTCTTCCAAAATTTATCACCAGTATTGTTTAAAAAAGTTGTATCTCGCGTCTTTTCCATGTTTCCAACAAGCTGCTTTTCTGATTCCTTTATGTCATTGTCTCCGCTAATATTTTCGGCAAACCTGAAAGGATTTCAATGACTTTTTAATGAAGGTAATTTGCTAACTGCTTGGGTCATATCATCTATGCTAACCAGCGGAAAGATTGAAACATCAACACGTGTAGCTGCGTGCCGGGATATTTTATATAACCGAGTTTTGTCATATTTTCATTTATAAATGTTTAAATCACTTGGCTAATTCTGAAGGCTTTCTGCAATATTCTTGGAGCATATGGAAATATTAAGTCCGTCTCTTCCCTCTTTTTTTCGAAGAGAGTAGAGAAACCCATTATGATTTAAAAAATTTATTTCAAAATCATTTGCAGGTAGAGTTTAAAGTTTGGCAAAGTTTGCTAGGTGGAGAAATTCCCTTGGTGAGGAAATAAAATTTTTTTGTTGGTAATGAATTCCTTGCTATTTCTTTCAATTTAAGCACAAACTTATGAAGATATTAGGCAGATATCAAAGCAAGTTTCATCTCAAAACAATGTGACACATATAGCCTAATTAAAAATAAAAAATCTTTGCATTTTTTATTTTTGATAGGCTTTTTCTTTCTAATCTTAATCCTTAGAAACACTGGAATAGCATTGGAAAATCACTGAGTTCCGGAACAAATATGATATTCGTTGCGATACGCAGTCCAAATGGATTATATACTGTTGCAGTGACAATATTAGCAAAATAAAAGTATGGTATACTTTGGGGAATTTTCCGCGAGAATTACACTATCACTATGACTGCCCTAATGTTTTAGCTCCAGCCTGTGATCACATCAGAAGAATAAATGAACTCTCAGGAGTTAAATTAAAATGAAATTTTGAGAAGCAAAAAGCTGGTGACTTAGTTGGTGACAATCGCATTAAAATTTTGCGGTTCAATATTTACTGCTCTTGATGCGTGACATACTGTGCCAACAGTGTAGTTGGGCATGCCGTTTTCTGTGTTTCGGTTTCTTTCCGAATTTCATCATCGATACCACTTGAGCGGTCATTTTCGATTTCGGAATAGAATCGATCAATTCCATTTATTGTTGTTGTTCTCCAAGCAGAAGTTACTGTAGATGTCGAAGTCGTTTCAACGGTTAATGTTAATGTTGTCAGTGATACTATATTCAGAACGGTATGTTTTGTTGATGCATGTGACATTGTTAACGGAGTATTTCGGACATTCTGTATATATAACTGCCTCATATCATCTGCAATGTGTCTGTTTTAAGTAACGTTGAAATGATTTTCCAATATCATGCATTGCAAATACTGAGAATTACTGTTGTAGACAAGTTCAAAATCAGTGAAATTACGATGTTCTGGTGCTGGTTGGAGGAACTCGTAATATAAATCATGTATAAAACGGTAAAACATTGAAGGTGAATATTCTAGGTTTCTAAACGATATTAATGAATCTCGCATAGTATGACCGGAAAACTAACATTGCAGAGAAATTCCACAGAGCGCAAATCAGGTCAGTTTCATTATTGTTTGGATTAACAGATAAAAAGATGATTTCGACACAAGTTTAGTGTTTTAAGATTGCTGATTATGGTTTCGAAAATTTTCTTCCACTTACCAAAAGTGGGAATATTCCTTGTTGACAAATGAGCATAAGTTTGTTTTCGTAGCACGCCGATATCAGTAACAAAATTCAAATGCAGTAGTCGTATTGAGCTATTTCGAATCCGCAGATTTGTTAAATATAATTCAGAAGTGGCTCCCATTTTCTGAAACTTGTCGACACAAATTGCGGTAATTTCATTCAAAGTGGAATTAATGTCGAAATATTAAAATATTAAAACCAGTCTGAATTAGAAGAACTTGGCTTCCATAGGTTTCTGTTAAATATATTTTTTCTTACTATTTATGTTGTAGTTTAGTAAAGTCTTCAAAAGAATTAATTACGTTGCGAATGGATTCAGTAAACATCATCAACTGGCCATCGACAGCAAACGATTCAAGCCATGCTTGCGTGTGGCGTGCTTCGTTGAATTTACTCCATTTTTGAAGTAGATGAGATGGCCTGCAAATTAACTACCAGCTTCAATCTCAAAAGTTAAGTCAATCTCGAAAATTGGAAGTATTTAGACTAGATTAAGCTGAACCTGAAAAGCAAATCGAACAAACATTCGGATAGTAAATTTCTTTTAAGACGATTGAAGGTATACAGTATTGAACGCTTTAAATCGAGTTCAACGATGAATTGATTGAATTGTTCAGTGCGTCCATGATTACCTGGTAATGATTTTAATTTTCCACCTGCAGTAATAATTTCAATTTTTACCATCTCTCTACGGAATAGCTGTCCTGCAAAGTTTCTCAAAAATTTATTCGAAATAATTTGGAGGGAATTGAAAAAAAAATCAAAGTAGAAACCTTGTTGTGAATGATAAACAACAAATTTTTCCATTGCTATCAAGTTACCGTGCTCATTTATCTGAAAAATAATTTTCCACAGATTTTTTCAGCTTTCAAGAAAAGAATTTTTGAGAGTTTTAACAATTAACACAATAAGCATAATCTGGTATACACTGCATTTCAAAAAATTAATTGGATTTCGGAAACAAGAATTTGAGATGAGCCAGAAAACAAACTCGAAATTGTCGTATATCCCATTGAGAGCCAATTGATTTGGCATTAATAAAATAAATAATATCAGAAAATGTTGTGTCCATGAAGGATAGATCAGGTTCAAGAATAAAATTGTTATCTCTAAGATGTGAACAGGCAGCATACGGTAATGAAGTAAATATTGAATAACTGCAATTGTGACTTTTTAACAACTTAGTAGTTTGGATACATCTGAACATGATGTGATTTAAACTACACTTAGCGTAATTTAACATTTCAACATCCTAATGTATAACATCAAACAGCTGAGGCATACAACTCTCAC